AAATTTTATAACAATAACAGTGATACCACTGGTTGCAGCTGCAACAAAAGACCCAATTAGACTCATCAGGATGTGAACATTGCTTTAGGGAACAATCAGACTTGACTATTATTGTAGTATAATTAGACTATGTCAAGATGTTATCCTTTACCTTTAGATTTAACACTCCTTTTGGTAGCATAAGTAGTAGGAGGGACTGCATCTGTATTATTGAATAATAAATCGTCATAAATTATTAATTAAAAATAAATACCTTTAGCAATACCATTATTCACTGTACATTGTCCAACTCTTTCCATTTCTGTAATTATCAATAATAATAAAGATAATAATAATGATTAAAATTTTACTACGTTTAGTTCTGACACTCCTTCTTGTATCAACTCTATGTGTACCTAAGCATAAACTATAAAATTAATAGCAAAATAAATTATTGTATACTTTGAACACTCTTCTTTGCAGTAGGATAATCAGCTGATTTTATATTAAAAATAATAAAATAAAATAAAAGAATTATGTGACACCTTTAGCACTTTTCTTAGCAGTAGTTGCATTAGCAGGACTTACAGTTGTTTCTATATTACATCAACATTTATAAAAAGCTAGTATATTAATACCTTTAGTTCTAACACTTCCCTTACTCCCCTTAGCAGTACGTATAACTCTCTCTGTTTCTAAATAAGTCAATAATAACAATTAAAAACCTGTAACACTTGCATAGGCAGGCACAATTGTCTTTGTTCAAAAATTGCATAATAGTACCTTTAGTTCTATTGCTCTCTTTGGCTGCAGTACTAATATCTGTAGTGGGTTCAACTGTCTCTATACTTGCATAGATAAAAATAAACAAAAAACTTAATAAATACCTTTAGCTCTAACACTTTCTTTAGCTCTAACACTTTCTTCAATAGGTAAAACTCTCTCTATTATCATAAACCATTACATTAACAACTATTAATATTACAATACCTTTATATCTAACACTCCTAGTAGTAGGTACAGCGATTGCTGTCTCTAATTAAAAAATAATGACAAGCATAAATCATTTGAGACATACCTATAGACCTCACAGCCTTCTTAGCATTAGAAGTAACAGAGGCATCAACTGTCTCTAAAAATAAATCAGAATAATTAATAGTGATACGAATACCTTTAGTAGTAGCAGTTCCCTTGATAGGTGCAACTCTTTTTGCTTCTACATTAATAATAAAAAGTATTGCAACTAATTTTAAAGGCCTTTACTGTTATTAGCTGTGACAGTATGTGTCTGTGTCTCTATACCTACACAATTATAAAGCATTATAGAATAATAATACGTTTCATGCATACTGTTTGCAGCACTCATTGAAAGCTCTTCTCCTTCATCAGTGTCTACAGTTACCAATGAATGAAATACTAATTTACTGTTACATACCATTACTCAAGGAATCTTGGTCTTCATCTTTAGCATTTGAATCTTAATATTAATAAATACATTATGTTCAACATAAAAATATGAATTCATCAACACCCACCTTGAGATGTCATATTAGGACGATATAACTGAACCCATAACTCATACCTCTCATCCGGAATGTCATACCCATTTTCAAACCTCTTAGAGAATTGCCTGTGCTCACTCATAGTAAAATCTAAAAATATGGTCCAATATCAGATTAAATTTTTCACAATAAGATATATTACTTGCACTTCTCTTCAACTCTTTTACTCTATTAGCTTCCTTCTGGTTCTCAAGTCTAGCAATTCTTTTACGCTGCTCCTTCTCCTTCAAGGCTTCCTGCTTCATTCTTTCCTTTTCCTCTATACATGTCATGAATTCAACACTAGTCAATACTCTTCCGCATGATTTAGGCTTCAGGGTGGGCTTGCTACTGGGATGACTAGGAGTTTTCAGAAAAGACTCTATAGGCATTACTCTTCACATTGGAGTGACAGCTTGCGATAAATCATTCTCTGAAAGTGATCTCTCCAAGAGACTAGAATTGAATGAAGAATCATGATCCCTCGTTCTCTTTATGTCTGGACTATAGAGCGGTATGTATGCTAGACCAGTCTGGTCTAACAGTGAACGGCTGATGGTTTCTTGCTTGTCATTGCCAGTTTTAATAGCATTTCTGTTGAAAGGACATATGCCGGTTACTTCAAAGCCACTTGCAATGTTTCTCTGTGTCATTGACCTTCTCCATGCATCAGCAAATAATACAGAGAAATTGTATCTGGTTACCACACAACCAGGGTTTTTAGTGCAGAACTCATGACACACAGCCTTCCAAGCAGTTTTTAATGGCCCAAAACACCCTTTGTCAAGTGGCTGTGTTAAATGAGTGGTATTGGGTGGCAATACAAATATTAAAATTTGCTCTTCAGCTGCTATCTTGATAAGGTCAGGACCATAATGAGTAGAATGACCATCCATCAGGAGAAGGAGAGGACGTACGCTAGGAACACTCGTTAAAAACAGCTTACGAAACCAGTACAAAAACAGCTCTCTACTGATCCATCCATTTGGAGATGAGCCGTAAAGTGTACCTGGTATTTCTCCTACCATTAGCTGATCATTAAAGGTCTTACAATCAAATATTACAAATGGAGGCAACGGTACTCCAGCTGCACAAGTGCATGCCAGAACTGTGATTTGAGACTTCCCTTCTCCAGTGATTTGACTGACATTCTTAGCTCCACGACCACTCACAACTTTCAAAGATTTAGGATTCAATGGGAGTCCTGTTTCATCACAGTTGAATATGCGAGTTGGATTGTTGAATAGAGAATTTTCTTTAAGTGTGTCTTCAAGTATATCAAAATACTTTTGTATGACACTATTATCAGTGGCCATGGCTCTCGAAAGACTTAAAGGTACAGCAGTACGAAGTGATAATTCACTGTGCCTGCTACAAAATTTCTGCCACCATCCATAAGAAATTGAGATGTCACTTAAACCCTTTGACTGAATTGTTTGTCTTACTAGTGCAAGAACTTCTGAAACTGTGCGGGGAAATCCAATCTGAGAACATTTGATTAAAAACTTAGCCAAAATAACCTCTTCTTCTTTTGTAAGATACGGCACTGGGCCAGGTTTAGTTCCATGTTGAACATTTCCCCTGATCCTGTCATAAAGTGTTGATTTGGGAATGCCATATAGCTCCGCTGCAAGTCTAACTGTCAACCCCTCTTCTTCAACAGCTTTGATAGCATTCGTCATGCTTATTTCAGGCCATGTAGAGTATGTACATGGGCGTGTCGCCATCTAAAAAAGACATTAACATAAAAAATTGATTATCATACCAATGACATGTAAACATGGGGAAAAGGCTTGGTGCTAGATTGATGTACCTTTATTTTACAGAACTAAAGCCTGAGCAATTTGCACCTTGCATGCACTATGGCTACACATGATAGAGCAGCTTTGAAAACAAACTGCATGCTATACAAACAAATTTTGTTTTTATAGTGACTTACATTCAATAGAGGTAGTATTTATGATAAGAAAAGGCAGCTGAGAGATTCAATGAGTCCAAACAAAAATACAAACAAGGAGCCTCGTGCTTTGTTGCAGCAATTAATGAAGATGGGTGTGACCGATAATGATAATTAACTAAAAACGTATAATACCTGAACAGTAAGCAAAGATGACCAAGATGTTTACAGAGGTATTTGAAGAAGACAGTCAGTACTAAAGTTCTGGTGGTACAAAACTATTCTTCGAACAAAGCTAGTCTCGTGCCCCGCCCCTTCGCTTTTGGAGGAAGGGTCTGGAGACACTCAAGGCTTTTTTGTTGCATGCTGGAATGTAATTAGTGGAGCTGATCATATGACCGGATGCATCCACGTGTTAATTTCACGTGATAGACACACCCCAAGAACATGGCTACCAGAAGTATGAAGAAGGAATCATAGCTAAAACTCATTTCAAATCAGTTTTTATCATTAATTTGTTTTGTTTTTCTTCATTCATCCTCTACTTATTAAATGCATTTTGCTATCAGATCAAAACAGTATGTTTAATAATGCAAAATTGACTAAAATTGTATAATAATATAATGATAGTAAT